TCGCCTACATCGTCCATATAGGACGACTCGGGAACTCAACTCCTACCCCGGGCAGCTCACCTATCCCCTTATGCCCAGGGGAAAGGTATCAAGCCGTTTGACAGCTGATGCTGGCTGTCAAACCGGCTTTTACGCAAAACAGGCGGGAGGCAGCAAACAGCTGCGACCGACGAAATCGCCTGCCACCGGAAGTCTCCTCCTGTGGCTCCTCCTCTTGTAACACCTCTCTTATGACAGACGCAGCCAGGCTTTGGGGAATGGAGGTAAATAGAGATATTACATTGAAGGATATCATCACTTCGTCATCCTCTACAGTTACTGTTTTTAACCTCTTCAGAAAATCCTCTGAGGATTTTACTGTAGTGGAGGTACCTTCGACCAGGTGCTGGAACCGTCTGCTCAGCCACTTTGCTAAACTGAAGGTTGGGGTGCCCCTAAGTGAAACAATTGGGCATAACAGAACTCCTGTTTATGGATCTTTGGTAGTCCATAAATTCGTGCTGTGGCTGAGTCCCTGGGTTGGATCATATTTAGATCTTCTTCCTGGATCTTCCTCTGTCTATTAAGTTTGTCGGCCACCTTATTAATTTGATTCTTAAGTGATATCGTTGGGTTTTTACTGACAATTCGATAGAAGCTCCTGTCATTGAGTAGAGCATGGATCTTCTGGTTATATTCCAGTTTATCCATAACTACAGTTGCTCTACCTTTGTCGGCTGGCAAGATGATGATTGAGCTGTCCCTGCATAACTCTTCAAAGGCCATCTCCTCTGAACTTGACAGGATGTGACCTTGTCTGTGGTTAGTAAGGAGTCCTACTAGGCGTTGCCTAATGGAGTTCTTCGTCTCCTCATTGACCTCAATTCGGAAAATTGTTGATTCAAGAGCTGCTGCGAAATCAATGGGTTGGGCAGCCATCAGACTAAAGCCAGCATCTCATTGTAGGACAGAAATTTGCCCCTCGGTGAGTGTTTTAGATGATAGATTATGCACAAGTATTTTTTTTTTGCTCCAGTTGTCTGTGGTCTTTAGAATCTCCATTTTGCATTTGAGTATCTCAGTTTTTCTCTGGCATGCCTTTTGTGTCGCAGAATGTATGGCCAGGTTGAATATGTCAAAATGTTCATGCGACAGCATATTATAAAGTTGTGGGAAGTCAGCCCCTTCAGAGAAGGAAATATTAAAAGGGCAGAATATTATATTTCCTCAAAGGATCTTAGGCAGAAAAGCATGCCCAGTTTTTCTTAATAGCCCCAAGTCTCTCTCCCCCAAGCAGAAACCAGATCTGTAGAAATGCAGATGTGATAATCCATTCAGGAAGGTTGGAGCCCTCCAGCTAGAAGCTTAGGAAGACAAAAACACCTGAAATCTACATACCCCACCCAAATTCTAAGGACAAGAAACATAATAGGATTAATCCACCATCACCAGAATGCCAGAAAGGCACACTCAGACTCAGGTCAAAGTACATAACACAGGAAATACAAAGCCTCAAACAGGAACAGGAAACAACCTCAAGAGCCCCAGAGGGTATAAAAACCCACTCCCTACTACATGTGCTCACTCTTTTCTTCCAGAGCCATCTTTCTGTCTGGCTCTCCAATAAACATACAACCTTCTTTCTAAAGCAGTTGCCATGTTGTTTATCCCCAGCTTGGACTGGACCCTGATGAAGGCTTTTCCGTCAACAAAGTCAATCTTCATCTACAATGAGATGAAACAAAATAAATGATGTTGAATAATGTAACTATTTATTCATGCTTGAATAATGTAACTATTTCCTTAAAAAGATTGATATACATTGAATGCTGCTAATTAATGGCAAACACAAATCTTTCTATCTCAGGGGTGTCAAACTGCCGGCCCACGAGCTGGATGCGTCATGCAGAAACTGTGCCCACCCCATTGCTGGCAATGGAAAAAAAGTCACGATACGTTGCGACACGTCACGTGACATTGCGAGTTTGACACCCCCGTTCTATCTTATTTAGTGTGTTCAAGAATTTAAAAAAACTAAAGCAAAAAAGTGCTTACTTTCAAAACAATACATTCTCTTTTTCATGTAAGCAAACTAATTAGTCATTTTGAAAACAAAATGCTTTGTATTTAAGAGTGGATGATCTGTAGTAAGGATATATAGATTTGCACAGACAAAATTATTGTGATCTAAAACCATTTCTGTTATGGTCAGTTAAACCATCATTGCATTGGGAGTAAGTATCTAGCAGGCAGCCTGTCAAGATCATGATTTTTAAAGTTTGAGTGGCTGTGAAGTAAGTGATCATAGCCAGTTACAGTACATGAATAGGGTAATCACTGCTAACCAAAAGAGGATAGATGAAATAGGCTGGAGTCTATGCAGAATACTACAAAACACTTGGATAGATCAATGCTTATATAGAAATATAAATGTAATTCTATGGATATTTTTTCTGAAAGAATTATATAATAAATTAGCAGTGTATGCTAGAGGAAGTGGAGCAAGCAGGTAGGTGTTAAAGGAGGGTGGTGTGGACAGGAATAATATTCTCTAAATTCATAACTTCAAAGCATTTATATTCCTAGCAATTTTGGCTTTATTAGGGAGCATCCATTGCCTCTTCATTCCATCCTATAGGTTTCTAGACTATATTCACCTTTTCTTCATCAATCTGCTTTTCTTTGTGTATGTAATTATAGTTATATATGGAATGTGTAACTATGAGATCATTAACTCCCCATTTGCTGTGGTATATTTCCTCAATACTTTTCAAACAGGAAGCTAAAACAAAACAAAAAGGACATAAAACAACAAAAATGAAGAGCAAACCAGCATGAGATAAATTAGTCATCAGGTTGAGCAAAATTCTTTGCAAAAGACTGGTAAACTACAGGCACTCTGATTCTTCTGAATACTGTATTGGATCTTATAAGCCTACAGCACAGCATTATTTATTGTAAAAAATTATTCCCTTTGTTGACCAAGACAAATCCCTAAATCAGAACCACCATGGGAATGATACAGGGATTGCTGATACAACACAAAGCAAAAAATATATATTTTTATTTAGGCGTAGAAATTTAATAAATAAGGTTTGTTGCTCTGTCAGCTTTTATTCAAATTCCTTTAAACAGGTGGACAATCAACCAGTGGAATGCCTTGCCTTCAGAGGTTGTGAGTGCTCCATCCCTGGTGGGTTCAGTTCATTGTTGGATATGCATTACTATCCAATGTAGGATAGTTGGCAGCCAAACAGGAAACACTTGAGCAGCAGGTAGCTCAGAAGTGTTGCCATGATGCCAACACTGTAAGGAATTCCAGTACCGCATTAACACTATATAGCAGGGGTCTTCAAACTTGGCCCTTTTACGACTGGTGGACTTCAAGTCCCAGGCAACAACAAAGGAGGGGACCCTCATCATAAATAACCCCGTTCTAGCTGAATTGTTAAATGTTTTGGGGGAAATGATAAATAGTAGTTGAAAACTCAAATTAAAGTTCTTCCAGTAGTGCCATTGTGGCAGCAAAGGACAGGAAAAAACAGGTATTACAGCAATCATACTACCATACTCAAAATCATACTATCTGAAACGAAGTTTTGTTTCAGAAGTTCACACGATTGTGGCTCTGCTACCTCGGCCACGTGGATATTGTGTTCCTTGGATAATCGCGAGTCAGAAAAAAAAAAAGATGCCTGATGTGGGAATCAGAATTAGAACCGCAACCCCAAAATAGGCTGGATCCCTTCTTTGAATGTCCCACCCAGAGAAATGATTGGACTAATTCCCGACGTTATGCTGGCTCAGGAATTCTGGGAGTTGAAGTCCACGAATCATAAAAGAGCCAAGGTTGCCTACCCCTGGCCTAGGCCCTAGCTGTTATTAGAATACTTTAAAAATATTTTAATCGTTGCACTGCGGTGAAATATTGTGTGAACCTCCCTTTTGACGACCCTTTCTGTCACTGCCGATTGCGCTCAGCCGCTCTTTTAGCTGGGGGAACCGAAAGCTGCAATGAGAAAGAGGTCTTTAACGCCATCCAGCCCAACCCCGTATTTTGCTCAGTAAAAGCCTCCCGTCGGATAAGCTAGCCAGAGGAAGATTTGCAAACTGCTACGTCGGGCAACGCCTCCCAGATTCAACTCGGAGCACCTACAACTCCTGGTTAATAGGCGATCGGGAAGACTTCTTGAGCAAAGCTGCCTCTTTCCCGCTTACGGTACTTTGGGCCGGCACTGCCTGGCATCGCCCCGCCCCGCCAGGAAGCAGCTGTGCGATCGCCTCGCGTCGGCCTGCTCTGCTGGGTGTCAGGAGGCGGCGGTGAGCTTTGCCATGGAGGTCCTGGGACAGGCTGAGCCGAGGTAAAAGAGAGCGGATCGGAGCAGTGACGTTCTGGGGCCAACGGCTAGCGTAGAGACTATCGGGATGCGCGTCATGCAGAAGTTTAACTTTTTGACTTCAAGAGGGCAGACGCCTTGACACGTGTCGTAAAACAGGAGAAGCACAACGGCGGCTCGCTCACCTGAACCACTCGCAATGTTTCAAAGGACAACTAGGCTCTTAGGCTTGACGCCCCTGATGCGTAGCAGGTGGCGCCGGAGCGGCCAAAGGGATAGGCAGGCACGTAGTGTGGGAAGGGGAAAAAAAGCAGAACAGGATTCGAGTTGCTTTGCAGCCTGATTTTTTTTTTCCCCGGGAGCTTTCCCCCCTCCTCCCATAACAATAATTCTGTGAGGTAGGCTGAGTTGAGAGGTTCGGTACAATGTGTAGAATTTATCGAAATACAAATTTCACTTGAAAAGAAACAGACAGATCGACTTCTCCGGTTTCCACTTTTTATTTTTATTTTTTTTTTTAACATAGTGGGACCCCCCATGAAAGGATGGGAGTTCAATGCAGCCATCAGTCTTCCATCTATTCATTTTAACGGTAGAATTCACAGTCTCCTGGTTTCTAGCCTGGCGCCTGGTTTTTTTGAGGTCTCCATTTAGGTTCGTCTTTTGCAGAGGGACGGGGATGTTTGGGTAATGCAAAACTGTACAAAATTATATGACAAAAATTATAGTGGATATCACACTGAAGACAAGTGCGCAAAGCTTGATGTCTGACTAATGCTATTCTTATTGTATTACTTTCAGAGGAGCTGGGGAGAGGATTTTTCCACTTCTGTTTCTGTTAGGAGCTCTTCCGATTACTTTTAAGACAGGATTAAGCCGTCTTTTGGTGACCAGAGGTTAAGTTTTATTATACCTTTGGAGAAGGTAGAAAGCTGTAGTGGGAAGACTGGTTATTCAGAATCATTGTAGTCACAATTTATATTCTCTGAAATGTGCCTCCATTGTATTATGTAATATTACGTTCAAAGTTCAACTCCTGTTTTGCCTAAACTTGTTGGCAAGAGAAGGAATTTAACGTAACACCACATCCTCTTGTCTATGCAGTTTATAACTTCCTGTCCAAAGAAGAACTCTGGAGAATTCAAAATGTGCACATTTGAGCCATTTTCCTTGTTCCTAATAAAGATAACAGCCAACAATAGATTTAAAAAAATATTTTATTTATTTATTTATGGCTTTAGCAGAATGAATAATACCCATTTATTTAAATAAGACAAATGGAAAACATATTTTCTGGCGTTGGGGGAAAAATCTATTTGGAATTTCAGATAATTTTAGGTGGCTGGTCTTATTGCATGTACTTGGCTGTCCTTTACTCTTCTTAACTTGTGTCTCTTCTCTTTTTTTGCAATTAGTATTCTACCATCAAGAGAGCTGTTGTTCAAGGAAACATGAAATCAGATAATGAGGACAGAGAGGGTCTTGTACCTGGGACATCAAACATGTCACCAGAAGAAAAAACGGCAGACACCAGGAGTAGCAGTGATGATTTCACAGGAGATGTGTCTCCATGCCCTGAGGATTGGGAAAATGCTGATATAAAACCTAGCCAAGAAGCTTCTAGGAAAAAACTATGTGGTTATTTACATAAATGTTCTTCTAAAGCACCAATCAAGACCTGGAAGTCACGCTGGTTTTGCTATGATGAAAATAAATGCTACTTGCTATACTACAGGACAGCACAAGATATTAATCCTTTGGGAAGCATAGAGATTTCCATTGCGAGTTTTGATCTTAAAGTGGGAGCAGATGAGGGTATTTTTGAAATCAGGACTCCCATCAAAGACTTTATTCTCAAGGTACGTAATTGCAGGAAGATGGGGGGGGGTGGGTTAATGTGGCCTGAATTCAGGTCTGAAGCCCCAATTAATATATGTTTCAGACTCTTTAGAGGATTTTTTTGACAAAATGGTTAAACAAAGGATTCAGAACTGTTGAAGTTTAAATTTGCTACACAAAACATGAAGTAAGAAACTGATTGTGTTCTTGCTTATGATAGCTAAAGAAATTCCCACTCAGTGCTAGAAATATTTAAAGAAATTTTGTATTCAAATATGGCTTGAAAAGATTTCTTTCCAAAAAATCTCATGTATAAGATAAATTATCTTTTTATTGACAATAACATGCGGTTGGGCAAGCTACTAGCTTATCTCTAAACATTCTCAAAGAAAGCGTTGTTATGAAATATGACATTGCATGTAAATAAATGTAATTTTTTGCTGGATGATTAAATATGTTCTCTCCAGGACAATCGGATTTTTAAATATCATAGTAGCATAATTGTTTAGCATGCTATGGATAAATAAGAATCAAATAAAAAAATCACTAGCAAAATTATTTAACTTGTTAGCTAAGAGTATTTGCACTCTGATAGATTAGTAAGAATTTTTTTATTAATGATTTTATTCCTTTTTATAGGTTTTTTAGATTTACACTATATGTATGTATATACTGTGTATATACGAAAGTTTTTAAAATGTTTTTTACCTTGTGTATTTTATATTTTTTAGCTTTTAAATTATTAAGTGTTTGTATTTTATTTTTCTTATGCTGGTCTATGACCATAATAAAAAATTGATTTTGCTAAGTGATAAACAAGAACATTAGGAATGGCATTTCCAACTCATCTGAACAGCAACAATTTTGGAAAAGACTACTTTAGTTATAAAGACTACATCTTGACTTCTTTTTTCTTTTGTGTTGATTTTAAATTGAATTGCAGGCTGTCAACAAACAAGCCATGATGTATTGGCTACAACAACTGCAGCTGAAACGCTGGGAATTTTGTAATAAACAGGCAAAGGGTTTTGTTGACGCCATGCCATCCTTTCCTTCCATAAACGAGGCCCAGCAGAGCAACAGTAAGTAATAAAAGTACAATAGCTTGAACTTGAATTGCAACAGGAGGCAGCATTCTCGTTAGAGGTTATGTAGGTCAGGGTAGACAGCTCCTTATCCCTTGACTGTGAGTGATAGCATCCTGCTTTTGATTCCCCATGAGATCACCAGATTGTGCTGCTGAATATCAGTATACTTAGGACTGTTTTAGAAGGGGGATAGAGTGAGAGTGTTTTGCTTCCAAAATATCCTGCTCCTAATATCACTCTGAAAAAGATGGTTCCATCCCTTTTGGTGACATCCCTTCCTTCCTTCCTTCCTTCCTTCCTTCCTTCCTTCCTTCCTTCCTTCCTTCCTTCCTCTTTCCTTTTCATACTGTCATCAGTTGAGTATAGTAACACTGTTAAACAAAATAATTAAAATAACATTTCAGAATATGTCCTGCAGCCTTCTAAATGTATGGAAGGCCAAGTTGTGGCTCCTGATTCATTAAACTTATGCTTCTCCTGCTGGAGATCAAGATGGCCATTGGCTGCAGTTTGATTCCACATACCGTATTTCCAGGTCTCCATCATACAAGAATTGTAAATGCATATTTTGCTGCAAAAATTATTGTTATTGCCCTGTATTTTTCTCTGCCTCCTCCTCTTCTGATTATTGGTCCATCATTCATCATCCTGAACATTCTCTTTCAGTCTTGGTCCATATATCAAGCAAAAGGCCTTTTAAAAACAATGCAAGTTGTCCCCAGTTTATTGCTAATAAACAGCTGGAGTCTTTCTCAGTCCCATATCCAACAATACACAAACTCCATAGTGCCTTCCCTGAGGTGTTATAGGTGTTAATGCTGCAGGAGGTATATATGCCTAGGCCCAACACATGTACTTCCAGCTTTCCAAACTGATGGAAGAAAATATATTAAAAAACCACACATTGGGTTCATGTGGTGCACCCTGAAATTGATTTGAAGTTTGAAGAGGTTTATAATTTTGATTTTTGATTCTGATTTATATATTTGTCATGCATCTGTGTTGTAATAAACCTTGAATTAGTAAAGTTTTGATCACTGGTTTACCAGCTTTCTGTTCTTTTCTATATTTTGTTAAACTTCAAACTGCTGTTGTTAGCTGTTAGGCCCCTTTTTGTAGAAAGTAAGAATGTTAGTATAATCAACAGAATGGAAGAGAGTTTCTGTATTTCAGCTACTGGAGGCAAAGTAACAGAGGAATGGGTGTGCCCCTGCTTTGTCATTAAGCAAAAGCAGAGCATAGGTTGCCCAACTGCAGCAGGCCAATTTGTCAACACCAGATAGAAAAGTACAAGTTAATTTTAGATAGCTAAGAACCGTAATTTTAGAGGTCCTTAAGTAAGTTGCAAATCATGCTGTTTCTTTCCTTTGGAAGTAGGAAGTTAGGACAGCCTGAGAACGGGCCAACATTAACTTCTCCTTCTTAAAATACTGGATTTTACCCAATCTGCCCCTAGTAGACTAAAGATTGAGGGCAAGATTTCCCCTTCCCACAAGGCCTCTTTAGATACAGTCTACAAAGTTGAAGGAGAAGTACTTACAAGTCAAACTACAGTGTTTGCTCAAGAGGCAGTTGAGAATACTGTGATGCCTTGCAAGATGCAGCTGTGCCATGTGATCTGTAGATTTAGCATGCCTTGGCTGCCAGTTATTAAACTGTATCTCTTTCTCTGCAGCGGAGGCAGAACAGGATTTTTTACCCCTGGTGACAACTCCCACTGATGTAGTTGGCATAAAGGCAGCTTCTCTACCAGCACCACCGACTTCCATTGCTCTTCAGAACATCTCTCTCAAGCATCCTTGGATTGAAATACAGTAACTATTTCACCTCTTTGCATTCCAGAAAAGTCATTGTGACAAATATTTTGCGCTGAAGTAGCCATGTTAATCTGTTGACATCTCAAGTACAAGTAAATGTCCTTGTGGGCTACCAATTTACAGCAATAAAAGCCAGTCTGATATGTAAAATGTTCAGCTTCTTCAACGTGGTGCCCTCTGGAAATTGTGAATAGAATTCCCTGCCTCCGTGCACACCAGCATGGCCAATAGAGATCATTGAAGCCTCATTCCCCCATGTCTATTGGGATTCAAGCCAGTGCTTGAAACAGGCACTGGTATTGTGTTGTATGTACAGTACACAAGACATGGCAAAGTGGTTCTTTTTGCATGGAGAGTGTCTTCAAGTCAGTTTTGATGACTAGTGACTGCCTGGACAGGTCCAAGCAATATCCTTGGCAAGATGCTTGGAAGAGGTTTGCCATTTCCTCCTTTTGCCTAATGCTGAGAGAGGGGGGATTGAGATTTTGTGCCTAAGAGGTGAGACTAGAATTCAGGATTTCCTGGTTTGTAGCCTGATGCCTTAATCACTCCCCAAACTGGCTCTTAACAGTTATTTTCTGTATTAATACATAAAATGAAATTTATTATTATGAAGCATAACAATATAAATTAATATTCATTGATAAACAGCATGCATTTGTAGAAAAGCACATTTAATTTAAAAGATAAAGCACAGCCTTGTCATTTATTTATAAATAGTAAACATGACTTAGGCTATTGTCATGTATTCCATAGCAGAGTAATAATCTGTGAGCTGTCACTCAGTTCTCTTCCCTGGGCAATCTTGAATAGCTCCATCCACTATTATTCACCTCTCAACTGACTACAGTAGTCACTAGCTGAGTGGGGAGAGGGAGAACACACTTTGGTGCCTCTGTTAGCATGGCCTAAATAAAGATTGTGTGGTATTCACAGTTTTTGACTTCTGGCGATTCCCTGGGCAAGTCCTGCAATTGTAGGGCTGCTTTTTTCGGATCAAACAAGTGTTGATCCATTGGTTGCAAACAAGAATTGATAATCAGCTTGTCATCCGAGACTGATGTCACGGCTTGAGAGAGAGTGATTGATCCAAAGTCACCCAGCTGGCTTTCATGCCTAAGACAGGACTAGAATTGACATTCTCCTAGTTTGTAGTCTGATGGCTTCACTACTAGACCATACTGGCTCTCAATTTGTGACCATTTTGATAGCTGAGTATTTTAACTCTTCATGCCGGGTGGTAGTTCATAATGATTTAGTGTTTCTCTATGCAAACACCTTTAGGCATTAGAATACTACATATTGGCTGCAAAAATATGTCAATTCCAAATTGATTGCAAAGCGTTGGCATTTTCCGGACAACTGTGGTGGCCTATATCAGGGCTTTTCAACTAGTGGTATGGGTACCACCTGTGGTACATTGGCACCTGGCAGGTGGTACGCGACCATCCTAGAAAAGTGGTAGCGGGGGAGGGGAATGAGCTGAACCGGTAGCAGCACCGCACAAGCCTGAGCGAGAGATGGCTGGAGCTGCAGGGTTGTCAGGGCTCAGTGGAAACACCAGGATCAGCGCCAGGCTCCAGCTGGAGCTCGGCACTGATCCTGGCGCTTCTGCTGAGCCCTGAAGAAGCACCAATCATGTGAAGTGACCAAAACCTGCTGCAACCACCCAGCAGATGGGGAGGGGAAATAAAAGCCAAACACCCACCCCACCCCCACTGCCAATCCTCAACAGAAATGCTCACAACAATGAAAACCTCGGATAGGAGGAAGAGCGCCGCTAGGCGGGCAGGCAGGTGTCTTGCTCGGCTGTGGCTTGGGGGGCCCTTTTTTCAGTGCCATTGTAACGTCAAACAGTCACTAAGCGAACTGTTGTAAGTTGAGGACTACCTGTACTTTATTACCTTTTTCCTCTTTTTTTTTTTTTGGTCATCAAGTTTTTGACACCTTGCTGGTGGTACTCGGATGTTCCCATATCCTAAAAGTGGTACAATGGGTGAAAAGGTTGAAAAGCCCTGGCCTATATCATTGTTGCCAGCTGGGGGCTTGATTGGATTTTGCAGGCCGTATATGTAGCCCTGCTACACAGAGAGACCCAGTGTAACAGAGAAAAATGAGTTTTTTTGAATGCTGCTTTTCTGTCTGCAGAGAATTTGGGAGTTAGCTTGAAGGTACATTCCGCCACCTGAGTTTCCACCTGCACTCTAAAATACTGCAGCCAGACATGCTTTACTACTATAGTGAGATCTAGAATTAAGATCTAAGCATTAGCTTTTCTGTGCAATTTTCTTCTTTTAGAAACACAGTGCATAATCTGTGTGGCAGCCGTCAGAACCAAAAAGACAGTAGTGGTTTTGAGGAAAATTTTGAAATTATTGCTGATGAAGATCACCTAAAGGGAGAAACTGAGGATACAGGTACTTACTTTGCCTTATGATAATGTATAAAAGACATTTCCTGTTACATTTTGTGATTGTATTAGGAAGTAAATTAATGAGGGCCTACTGTGGGAGATGAACAAAAAAGCAACAAAAATAATTAGACAATGTTACTTAAAAAAAAGAAATCCCACTGAATCTGATAGGACTTACATCAGGGTTAGATGTAGTGCTGATTAATTATTCAACTTTGTAGAAACAACAGAACATGTACTTCTCCAGTGCCTATACTACAGAGATATTTGTATTAGTCTTATTTCACCATTATTGCAAAAATACCTGGGGCACACAAGATAATTTTATACCCTCCTTCTTCTTTCAGATACCAATCCTGTTACAACATACAATGTTGCCTTATTTTGCACAGCAGTATTTAAAATCTTTTAGAAGATGACCTGTGCCACAAACCAGTTTTAATGGTTATTTAGACCATTATTATTGACTGTTTTGTAATTAATTCATTGCATTATTTGTATTAGAAATGTTTAGTTTATCACGTTTTTATGCCCATTTATTGTTTTTAACCTCTCCTTTTAGACTCTTTTTTTAGATTTTTGTTTTTATATATTTTATTTTTAATGTATTTGTATTTTTCTTTCCTTTTAAATTTCTTACACTCCACCCTTCCAATGCTGGTCTTTCACCATAATAAAAGTTTATTTGATTTATTAATGTACTTCTTGATAAACATGCAGAAGATTGTTCATAAATCTTGTGACTTTAGAGCAGATATTAATGTTTTGCTAATCTACCAATTTCTCAGAATGTAATTCTGAGATCTTCCAGCGCAAGAAAGTTATTAACTATCATTTATATTTATTTCAGTCATGGCAGAGATGCAGAAGGACACCAAAACGAGACTAAAGCCACCAACATTCCGAAAATACAAAAAAGCCAGCAGTAGTTTTCATTATTTTGTTGAAGGAGCAGAACAGGGGAAAACAGCTTCTCTTCAGCACCAGGTTTTGATCCTTACAGAGGAAGTAAAATCTCAGAAGGTAAGCCTCCCCTTAAAATATATACCAAGTTCTGATCAACCAAAAGATTTAAATCAAGCATCCAGTATGTAAGACAATGTTGGACTAGAAATTGTTCCCTAAAATTTCTAGCTAATCTAGTGATAATGCAGGTTTTTGACAAATGGAAAGCAAAATGAAACTGGAAAAGTTTCTGGAAAAATGTCCTTAGACTGGTATGTTCTAGCCAGCAAATAAACCTGGCCTCTTTTATTGATAAATATATTTCATCATCCAGGCTGCAGGTTGTTTGATTTTTAATATAAAAGAAACTTAAGTATACTACTTAACTATACTATTAAGAAGAAACATCATGTTTTCTGATATTTCACGAGGTTGGTAGTGCTGAGGTAACATAAAAGAGGGAGGCAGCGATGGTTGGCATTTAACGAAACCCAGAAGAAAGTAGGCAATCTGTTTTATACAGTTATTAATGTGTGGGAGAAACTCCACAGTCATCTAGCTTCTCCTCTAGCCCGTTTACATTTCAAGATAAGGGCATCGGTTAGTATAAATTAGACTAAACCGTAGGCAAAATAGCAACTTTTAGTCAAAACTCAAAGATGTTAGACCACATGTTGGGTGCAATTTAAGGGGGCTTGTTTCCATAAAAAGAACACTAGTAGGAGCACTTTGAGGCAACTGAAGAATTATATAGGTACTCCTCAATGTACGACCACAATTAAGCCCAGAATTTCTGTTGCCATGTGAGGCATTTGTTAAGTGAATTTTGCCCCATTTTATGACCTTTCTTGTTGTTAAGTGAATCACTGCACCTGTTAAGTTAGTAACGTGGTTGTTAAGTGAATCCGGCTTCCCCATTGACTTTGCTTGTCAGAAGGTCACAAAAGGTGATCACATGACCCCGGGACACTGCAACAGTCATAAATATGAATCAGTTGCCAGGCATCCAAATTCTGATCACGTCAACCAAACTGGAATGTTGCAATGGTCATAAGTGTGAAAAATGATCACGTTACTTTTTTCAGTCCTGTTGTAACTTAGAACTATCACTAAACGAATGGTTGTATGAAAAGGACTAACTGTACTCAACAGATTCGATCTTTGGGAAGTTAGTGTAACTACCAAGCTGTGCTCCTTTGCTGAAAGGTTTTACTGCAGCAGGAACACTCTGGACATGCCCTGAATAGTAACAGGCCTGGATAGCTAATCCAGATTTAGATGTATTTTGTGGTACGTAATTTCTGTGAGTCATGGAAGATTACTCCAAGGTAGTCTAATAAGTTTATTTGTTTTATACTATGCCCATTTCATGATCAGTTTTATATCTTTTGTCTATGTTGTGTTTTTTGTATTTTGTATGGGTTTATGTTATATATCTACGTATGTAAACATATGCTCTGGGTCATGTGATCACAGATGTGTCTATGAAGCTTTTTTAATGACAGTGGAACTAGTCAATCACTGCCTTCTTGTAGCATTGTTTTTTTTTCCAAGTTTCCAGTCTGGCCTATAGCCTTGGGGTTTTCTGGTTTCTTCCATTCAAGTATTAACCATATTATGATCTTCAAAGGTATTGAGGAACAGATCTCAATTAGCTTTTTACAGGTAGCTAGGTGCTGCTATATAATTAGATAGAAGAGGAAAGATCCAGATTAAGATCCTAACTTAGTCAGAAAGCTATTCCTAAATAATGTTGTGTCTGTCACTCTGAATCTAACCAACCTGGCAGGGCTGTTTAGGAACATAACATTGACAGCAAAAGGCAGAATGGTGTATATCTTGTACAAAGGGAATGATGAAAATCTTATATTAATGGGGCAAAGGACATTGTGAAAGAAACATTATTTCACAATATTTTTTTTCATGCTCCATAAAACCATTTCCCCCCCAAAAAAAAATATTACATCCAGTGTCTATTCCATAGGAAAAAAATATTTTTATTAAGAAAAATTTTAACAAGAGAAAAACACTGCTAATTTTTGACCAGAAATAAAGAAAATAAAAAATAGTGAATAAATAAGAAAGAAAATAAGAAAAAAGAAAGAAAATTGAAAAAAAGCAAAAGAGAAGAAAAGGTTATAAAAAATGTCTTCCAATCTTTTTAGCAGCAGTTAATACTTTACCATCTCTCTCTAAGATTACATCAACATTATGAGTTGATTTTTTTCCTTTCTTCAACAAAAAGTCCAAAACGGGTTTTTAGTTATTAGTAAATGAGATTATTGCCCTTTCCCTAAACAGATTATTAGAAAAAATAATGTTTGGATATAACATTATAGAATCTTTTAACTCCCAGATAATTACAACTCCAGGTTTAAGGCTATTTATTCATTTTTGTCATGTGCATATATCACAAGCTCTACAAGGATTCCTGATGTTTGACAACAACCTACTTAAAATCAATAAAAATCATATATAAATCCAGTACAATATAAAATCAGTCATCCTCCCTGATGCTCTTAATCCAGTAACAATGTCAGATCTTAGAAGCTGTGCAGAAAAACTGCTGGAATACCAGAGTGAGTTGATTTGTTCCTGTAATAAATTGCTGGATGCTCAACATGCTCAACCCAATGTTAAAAGAGGATCTAACTTTGCAAGATATTGCATTCTGTAGTTCCTCTGCCAAAAATCTGTATTGAGACACATTTCCTGTACAACTGCTGAAAATCACCCTTGTTCTTCATTATTTCATAAAGGAAGGAGCTTTTAAAATATAAGTTCCAATTTGATTCTTTTGCTGCTGTTACTAAATACTATAATTATTTTGCTTTAAGAAAATGAATTCATTCACTAGACCAGTGGTGGCGAACCTTTTAAAGACCGACTGCCCAAACTGCAACCCAAAACCCACTTATGCATCGCCTGGTGCCGGATGGGCGTGGCCACTGAGTGGGCGTGGCCACCGAGCTGTCGGCTTATGCTCGCTTGCTCGCTTCCTGTCCGCTCCGACTCGTGCTCGCTCTCTCGCTGTCTGCAGCAAATGCTGCTTCCGCCAAAAGTTGCTCCTTTTATAACCTCTCGCCTATTCCCAGACTGCGCATGCACGGAGAGGAGGAGGGAGCAGCTCGGCCCAACAATGGCTCACGTGCAACCAGAGATGGCTCCGCGTGCCGCCTGTGGCACACATGCCATAGGTTCGCCACCACAGCACTAGACTCTGTGCCTCACATTAAGCTATAGTTTGCTTTGGTTCACATATTGTGGTAAGTCACAAAGACAGACAGACACACACACACACACAGACATATATATATATATATATATATATATATATATATATATATATATATATATATATATTAAAAATATTT